GATTATAGAATGATTATAGCCCGTTGTAGTTATATGTATACTGTTCACCGTGTCACCCATGCGTCTGTTTATTTGTTGCTATGGCAATTTTGTTATAGCATTGAGTGAATGGAAAGTGGCTTATGTGAGTCCTATCTTCAAGAAAGGCGATCATCACTCCACGGACAACTATAGACCGGTGAGCCTGACCAGCATAATATGTAAAGTACTTGAGAGTATTATCAGAGATGCCTCAATGGAACATCTAATACGAAACATACTTGTAAAGGATTGCCAACACGGTTTTATGCCGGGGCGTTCCTGCTTTACACAACTGCTCAAGGTATTGGATATTTGGACCCATATTCTGGAGCGGGGTGGTAATATTGACAATATTTACCTAGATTTTGCCAAGGCTTTCGACAGTGTGCCCCATGAAAGGCAAAAAATCAAACTGGATGGGTACGGAATTCGGGAAAATGTCCTAGCGTGGATAGAAGACTTTTTACATGACCGCAAGCAGTGTGTGGTGATTAATGGCACGAAATAGTCATCCGTACCTATCACAAGTGGGGTACCACAGGGCAGTGTATTGGGCCCGCTGTTGTTTGTTTGTTTCATAAATGACATGCCTGACGTTGTGCACTCCTCTATACAAATGTTTGCTGATGACGCCAAGCTATTTCGGGAAATTAAGAACCAAGCGGACTGTGAAGAGCTGCAGAAGGACCTCTGTGGGCTCCAGGAATGGTCGAAGAAATGGCTGCTGAGATTCACTGTCACGAAGTGTAAGAGGATACACCTAGGGCGTACCAACGGTAAGGAGGCGTACCATATGTCCCAACGGGATGAAGAAACTGCACTAGTTGAGATTGAATGTGAGAAGAACCTAGGTGTGTATGTTGACAATGAGCTGAAGTTCTCGGGCCATTGCGAGAAGAAGGTAAACCAGGCAAATAAATTATTGGGTCTTATAAGAAGGTCGTTCAGATATCTAGACGGTCCGTCCCTCGTTACGATCTTCAAGAGTGAAGTGCTTCCCCATCTGGAGTACTGTCACCCCGTCTGGTCCCCGAGATATGCTAGGGACTGTCAGTTGGTTGAAAATGTTCAAAGGAGGGCCACCAGACTGGTGCCTGCACTTCGGCACCTCAGCTACCCTGAGAGATTGGAGCGCCTGAACTTGCCTAGCTTATACTACAGACGGGCAAGGGGGGACCTAGTTGAGGTGTATAAGCATCTCCGGGGGCACTACTCAGTCGAGTGTCCTTACTTGGAGCTGGCGGACGCTCGCCCCACAAGGGGTCACAGCTCAAGATTGAAGAAGCCGCAAGTCCAGAAAACTGTGAGGGCAATCTTGTTCGGAGTGAGGGTTGTAAACTCTTGGAACAATCTACCAGAGAGTGTTGTGACGGTACCGAGTGTGAGCTCTTTCAACACTGGAGCAGGTTCAGGTACATTCAGGAGCCGGTGCATGCCCAGTATTTGCCAACAGTGCGTGACAGAGACGTGACCGATCGCCCGGGCGGCTAGCGAGCCGATCAGTGGCGAAGAATGTAAATGAAAAGAGACGTGACCGATCGCCCAAGCGGCTAACGAGCCGATCAGTGGCGAAGAGGATAAAAGTATTATTTACAGGCATTTAGGTGAAGCGGCAGATATAACTTGTGTTAATTGGAAACCATAATAATTACATCGTAACACACCAAAGTGGCCAGTTTTTAGATTTGACCTTGACCTCTAAGGGTCACGAAAAGTATTCCACCATAAAGTTCATCAAATCTATAGGTTTATATAGATTACATATCTATACTCATAGATTTTGCCTTTCGTCACTATATTGGTTGCTAGAGTAATAGTTTTCCCTTTATCCCCGGAAATGATACAAAATAGCTTTGACCCAAGGACTAGAGGGAGAGTTTGAGCCTAGCATCGGTGAGAGCAAGACCATAGACAGTCGTAGCGAAGAATCAACTTTATTATTGTGTAACTATGTTACAGTCGAGTTCTCGCGGTTAAATCCAAAGAGTCACGTTTTCTGTTGAACTGTCTGCACACACTGTATACCTGCAGTAAAATTGTCGTACATGTAACATGTTTACAATTTGATAATCATGTTTATAAAGTGTGCAGTTATACAGTTAAGCATGAATATAGACAGTGTAGATATACGGTGCAAGTTTCCTGTGTGCCTAGACAAAGCAGATAAATAATAATGGTAAACAGTAAAGCAACTTGACCAAGGATAGCCAACAAAGCTGTCAGGTAATACATACAATTAATGTTATATAACCGTACCTGGCTACAATACAACACATGATTCAGTAACATTGAGTAGGTGAGTAATCCTTTATCAATGTTTCCCGTTCTCTGAGATTCTACAAGCGCGGTGGATTTAAATGTTATGTAGCGTAATATGAATTAAAGTTTTTTTTTTAGGAATGACAATGATGTGCGCAGTACACCAGGAGGGTCCTTTGCTTAGGTTGACGCTTGTCTATGCATTTGCTTGCATGCCTGCACAGCTGCACTCTCTATATACATTGTACATCTGCACTATTTACACATTGAATCAATGTGAACTTGTATGACGACTTTACAGAATGAATATATATATATATATATATATATATATATATATATATATATATATATATATATATATATATATATATATATATATATATATATATATATATATATATATATATTTACAAAGGTCCCAGTTGATGATTTACTAGAGTTCCTCATAGATTCCCTGGATAACATTTCACTGCCCGTCTCGAAAGACGACTTCATCGAACTCATCAAACTATGTATTAAGGATTGCAAATTCGAATTCAATGGGGAATATTATGCTCAAAAATTTGGTATGGCAATGGGTAATCCACTCTCACCTGTATTAAGCAACCTATATATGGAATTCTTTGAAAAGAAACTATTAAGTAATATTTTACCATCCTCAGCAGTATGGTTTAGATATGTTGATGATGTATTATGTCTCTGGCCATGTAATGAGGACCTAAAAGCTTTCCTGCCACAACTTAACAACTTAGCTCCCTCGATCAAATTCACTGTGGAATTAGAGCAAGACTGTAAATTGCCATTCCTAGACTGTCTGATACACAGAATAGGTAACACTTTCAAGTTCAGTATTTATAGAAAACCAACTAATGTGTGTTCATACATTCATTATTACTCTGCCCACCATAATAATCTACCAGAGAGTGTTGTGACGGCACCCAGTGTGAGCTCTTTCAAGACAAGACTTGACCAACACTGGAGCGGGTTCAGGTACATTCAGGAGCCGGTGCATGCCCAGTATTTGCCAACAGTGCGTGACAGAGACGTGACCGATCGCCCGGGCGGCTAGCGAGCCGATCTTTTGGTGAAGAAGATAAATGAAAAGAGACGTGACCGATCGCCCAAGCGGCTAACAAGCCGATCAGTGGCGAAGAGGATAAAGGTAAAGTAAAAGAGTCAAACAGTCAGTATTTTCATCAATGTTTTTACGTGCTTTGAGAATTTGCAGTCCGGAATTCATTGATGAGGAATATAAATATATCTATAATATTGGCTTGAACCTTAAGTACCCTAGATCTTTCATAGATAAATGCCTGAACATTACTAAGAAATCTTTCTATAGAACCGATCCCAAGCCCACCAATGACCATAAGAATCTCTTAGTATTACCATTTCACAAAAATTTCTCTCAGATTCCTTTACAACTAAAAACCTGGAACGTCAATGTGGCATTTAAAAACTCATGCACTGTTAAACAAATGTTAATCAAGAATTCCCCCAACAACACAAGTGGCTGCATTTATAAGGTTCCTTGCAAGGAATGTAATGTTTTACTTAGGCCAGACAGGTAAAGATCTTGTAACTAGACTTAAACAACATAAATATAGTGTTAGGACAGGCCAGGAATCCAATGCTCTGTTTGTTCATTTGAGGGATAATAAGCATTGCATTGACTGGGATAATGCCTCCTCAATATTACCTTGTAATTCAATTGACAGTCGGAACATTATAGAATCTAGTCTCATTAAACATACCGAATTCGTCAACATGAATTTGAGTAATGGCATGTACAAACTGGACAATTTCGTAATTAAGAAGATTTGTAACCAGGTGAGAAGGTTGGGTCAGCTTACCCTCTGATCTGACTACCGACTGCTGCGGTGCTTTTTGAAGATTAGTAGCGTCATTACCTAACACCTGACCATTGTGGACTTGATCTCACCCTCTTCTGTATATATATACCTTGTTATGTAGTTCTCCTTCGTCTGTACTCACCCCTGAAGATGTGAACTACACGAAAGCGCTTGAGAACTTCGTGTTTTCTTCCTTCCTTGTGGTTATCAGCATATATATATATATATATATATATATATATATATATATATATATATATATATATATATAATCAACACATCACCTCGCCAGGACTTGAACCCACTATCATAAGAGTGTGACAGGGCAACATTACCTCTACACCACTAGGACACTAAAAGCAGTCCTAGACTCTGTTATATTTCACACAAAGCCTGTTCAACGAGCAGTATTAATTCCCGTGAACATTTTAAGTTTGGCGGGTCGGTAGTCACCCCGGGGTCGACAGAGACATCTTGTGGCGGGGCCTCAAGTGTCTCCCCCACAACTTACCTGAGGTATAATAATGCCATAAATATCACGTGAACTCTATCACGCATAACCCTACAGTGCTATATTTAATACATTGCTTTTAGTAATAATTTTATAACATTAAAGTGAGTAATAAATTACAATTGTAAGAAAAATGCAGAAATTACTTATATAGTAAGTCCAGCATGGGTGCTCAGTATAACCTTATAATTATACTATATGCCTGAAAATTTTCAACCTATATAAAATTGAACCGATAAAATTATTTTATCTTCAAAAACTCCATTGCTATGTTATTAATACTGCACAGAGAGAGAGAGAAGGAGCATTAATTTGTGATCGAAACGATAATACTGTTACCCGGTGAAGGACACTTGGCCAAGCCGCCCCGCAGCCCGTCGTGTTTACAGTCGGTGTGTTAGATTATACATGTTTGACGAAAAGCAGATCATTTTTACGAGAAATGTAGTTGATTGCATCACATTTAACAATTTTAGTGTGTGATTAGCTGTATTGGACCGTTAGGCATGTTACAGTGGACCTATATCTCCCAGAATTAATTCTCAAAGAGCTCTTGTGAGAAATTTGTACCAGCAAGCACTAGAGCCAATGTACCAGAGGCTGAGGTCTGCACTTCATACTATGTAAGTAACTTAAACTTGCATATCTCCAACTTGATTGAGGTAGTAAGGTAACGAAAACTTAGTTGTACATTTATTCATTGTTAATTTTTACATAACCAGTGTAATAAGGTTGGAAATTCTTGTGTCTGAGTTTTGTGGATTATACTTTTATTTTAGTCATGTGTGCTTCACTGGATAAGACTTGTTATTATCAGTTTTAACATTTGTATTATGAGGATTCTTTTACGAATTCCTATTTAGTCTTTTGGGCACTTAAGCTTTAAGAAGTGCCAGTGCAAGATGTGTTGATGTTATAATGTAATATATTTCTGCCTTTAGCAACGAAGGTCTTTAGGTGCTTATTCGTAGGTTAGTAAATGCTCTACTCTTCAGCAATAGAAAATATCCTTGCCAGAGCAGGATATTTGGCACAAGAGTGTCACTGTTACTTGGCAGTGACATTTGATTAATATAACGGGTAATATTGGAAGTGCAAAATGAGTTTCTTATTTGCAACTTTGTTCCTTGTTTGTCCAATGGGACATATAAACCATTCTTCACAAATATAAATGAGTACAGGGTTATTATCAAGGCGTGGATATTTTGCCATGACCTGCTAAGTTCCTACCTTAGCTATTTTACCGTGAGTGTGCTCTGATTGGCTAATCGTCCATTACCGGTGAACAACGCGAGAACGATATATGACCGTGATTGGTGGCATTTGGCATTTATTTTGCCGTGAGTCGATCGTTGTGTAGCTATAAACATACCTAACCACAAGGAGTTGTTTCATTTTGGTAATTTTTTCCACAGATATTCTTATCATTATAAAAGAGGTGATATTTACTAGAACCTAAAGAACCTTACCTAACATCCTAGCTGGGAGAGGGGGTGACCCCCTGTCATATTAAATAAAAAGTACTTAGCCAATCAGAGTGCACTCATGGCAAAATTGTGTTAATAAGAACTTAACCAGTCACGTCAAAATATCCACATCGTAATATTAACGATTTTCCCATTGCAGCCTAATTTGTATTGATGGATCTTTTCTAACTATAATTTCTTTGCTGAGTTTGAATCTGATATTTATTTCTTGGGTAAAGGCTTCATTTGGGAGATAATTAGGCCCCTAGACTTGGACTAGCGGCACTGATTCATCTTTAGCTCGATTTTTTCCTCAGTCTAGGAAGTTAGGTAAGGTTAAGTAGGTGCTGTCTTCTAACATTTGCCCAAACTACAACATTGTCCGCTGCATAACACAGTGAAAAACCGGCAACGGACGAGTTGTCAATAATTACCAAGTACAGTAGTTAAAGAGTGAAGGCTAGACTTTATTTCTTTCATATTTGTTTTTAATCTATACTGCCATTTATTTATTATATTGCAGCAGAGACAAGGAAAAGCAATTATTTACTTGAAAAATTAACCTAAATATATTAAAAGTATTGCCATCAACATTACACATTCAAGTAGGCTGTTTCACAAGAACATTTATGACACAGACCAAATCAATCAAACCAACAGATGCAATTAGTACTGGTGTCACAGTATCTGCGCTCCCATTCCTAAGCATCCTCTTGACTACTGTGCATGCGTCAGATTTGATATAAACATCCACCCAGTGTAGTTGCTCCCCATTTGTGCACTTTCATCAAGAAGGACAACAAGAAACTAATACTGAATACAACATATATGGATAAAAGTGATTTCTAATCCAGAAATATTAACTTGGAATGAGGCTGGGCATCTTGTAAACCAGCTTCAAAAGGGAGTGATTAGATCAGTTTAGTTCCCCTGTTTTATACTGAAATAAAGCTGAATATTCATTTTCAAAGTTCATCACTCCCAAACATTGATATTTACATTGTATCTATAGATCAGAAATTATTGTGGATACAGTATACTGCAGTAGATTTTGTTAAATTAGTATTTTTCGGAGGAAGCGATAGACTGAGGGGAGCACTCAGAACGTGACATACTGCATTCTATCTATAGAGCATCCCCCCATTTTACGTGCATGTGCAGAAGAGCGGTGCGGACCTTTTGAACTTGGGTATAAGGTAGACTGACACTGGGTAGGGTTAAGATCCGGAAAAGGTCAACCACGGAACTCTGTAAATGATCTGTATATAGGAAGATAGGGCAGAAAAAATAAATATATATTAGAGCAATTCGAAAAACAACAACTGGTAATAACTGCTTGTTATCACCAGGAGTTTATAGATTTGGTTAATTTTTTCCAGAGGTATTGCTTGGATGATAGTAAGTAGGTAGTAGGCAGCTACCGAACAGGGAGGTACTACCGCCTGGGAAGATATTGGCAGCATAATGTATTGTCTATGGTAGACCCTGCTGCCATATGGCATCACAAAAATTGTGACCAAGTCCCAGGTTGCTGATCTGACTTTCTGCCTCATTTACACACAATTGTAGGGTCTCAATTGTTTCTATTACATGACAAAACAACATACATATATAGCGTTTCTCACTGTTGATTTTTTTTCATTTTTGCATTTCTTTGTATGTATTATTATCACAGTGTTGTTATTATTATTATTACCATTAATATTTTGTTTCACTTTTTATTATAAATTTTATTTATTATGAATTATTATTATTCTTAAATTTTCACCCCCCGGGCCCTGATGTGTGTCAGTGACCTGTGCCCGGGTGGGCTAATCCCCGTAAAAAAAATATATATATATAATAAAAATTATATAGCTTTTTCCAGTAATACTGGAGCAGATGGCTAACACCAGAAGTAGTTGTTTGATTTCTTTAATTTTTTCCACAGATGTTCTTCTGATGATAGTAAGGGTAAATATACATTTTAGGACCAACACAGAAACTACAGTACTTCGAAAAATTAGGTTTTCCTTGTGTATTTTGTGTTGTTTCAAGTGAATCTGACTTTAATTTGTCGTAAATGACCTGTTATGGAGATATGACCCCCCCTTCCATTACAGGGGGTCCCTGGGTTATGAACGGGTTCCGTTCCTGAGGATGTTCTTAAATCGAAAATGTACGTAAGTCAAAATACATGCTAAGTGCTTACAGAACAATATTTAAAATCCCACTATATTATAGCCAAAGCCCTTGTATACTGTCCATCTAAAATCACTTAATTTAAGACAAAAGTAGAAATAGAATGACAAAATACAGTAAATGAAAGTAAAAAATAAGTCATCAGGTAAATAAAATACCGTACAGTAGACCCTTGCCATTCGCGAGGGATAGGTTCCAAGAAATGGCGCGAATTCGCAAAACCGCGAATAGCCATTTATAGTACCTTAGTGCACTACTGTATATACCAAACAACTGACCAGCCACGTCAGCATTCATCCCCTTTTAACTTATCTAATAATAAAACTTTCTTTCTCAGGGTCATCACTGATTTCTGCCTTTTACATTTCACTCCACTGACATTAGGCAGTCTTTTAGAGGCCATTTCAAACATAAATACCAAAGTTTTGACAGTACAACACAATATGCTGCGCGGGGTGGCTCGTTGTGTTGGGGAAAAGGCTTGCAAGCTAGCCACCATCTGCTTACTGCGAATCGCAAACTCGCGAATCGCAAGGGTTTACGATACTGTAAATTTAAAGTTTAACCTCGTTCTTATTGGCGGGCGTTCATAAATCGTGCGTTCGTAAGTCGGGGACCCCCTGTACCAACAATCATGGTTATTCAAACTCAATTTTAAAGTGGGCAGGGCTTTGAAGTAGAGGGAAATTGTGGGGTAAAATACTAAAATGAACAGCAAACAAAACTTTGACAACCTTACCTAACCTATAAAATTCCCCAAAATTAAAAAACTTGGTATGTGATGGTGTTGTTGTTTTCGGTGTTCAGATGAGGAGGGACCCATAAACTCAAAAGTTATTCTTAACTTTTCAACAGGTTAGGTAAGGTTTTCAAAGGTTTGTTTGGTGTTCATGTCAGTATTTTACCCCTCAATTTCCCTCTACTTCAAAGCCCTGCCCACTTTGAACAACCAATATTGTTGGCAGTTAGGGTGGTCATATCGGTTAAATTACTCGAAAATTATAAATTTATGATGGAAACATAATTGAAGAAAAATTCTCCCTTTATAAATAGAGTTATGAAGTTCCGTGTTGGTCTAAAACGAGTCTTAACCATAGGAATTAGGAAGTGATAAAAGAGATATGACAACTTTATATTTTAATTAATTAGTATTATTATTTTTTTAGTTTTTCTCTATCCATGATCAAAAATGGTCTGAAGTGGGCAGGTCATGTAGGATGGGAGAAATTACTGGTTAAAACACAGTGAAAAACTGATCATATGACACTAAAATGATGTCTATGCGCTTTTTACACGAAAAGCAAAATTATTTACCGGAAATATTCTTCTGAAAAAGCTGCCATTATCGGCGCGTGGTGTCGTCTGCTCTTTATTTGTTATGCCTTGTCCAAGCGGGTTGTCGGTTCAAGTTTAAAATTATACCATGCCACTTCAAGAAAGTAGCGCTCATTGGTACCAGATATCAAAGTACACCTGTTTAATGTGGTGGGGCAGCTAGGAAGTTGGGTAAGAGTCTTTGGTTGGTTAGGTCAGGTTCTGTATCATATTTATTACTTACTATTGATCAAAGAACATCTGTGGAAAAAAATAACAAAATTGGACGGTGTTTTCTGGTGTTGGCCATCTTCTCCACTCTTTGATCATAAATCACTAGGGGTGGGCAGGGCATGAAAGAAGAGAGAAATTACAGGGTAAAAAGATGGCAAAAAACTGATCATATGTAAGTAATAAAACATCTGTGTTTTGGAGGCAAATAAATAAATTATTAACCATAAATCTTGGTATATACTGTATACAGCCACTCCTTGACTTACGATAGGGTTAGGGACCCAAATCCAGGTCTTAAGTCGAAAATGCGAAGATAATACATAGAAAATCTAAAATGGGTATCTCTTTTTCTTCTCAGCACCACAAAACTCACTTTTAAGCATGCCAGCCATTTTAAAGGGAATTTCAAACTAAAATTTTGTCAATAC